AGCATTCAAAAGACTATCGGGAAAGGGGGCAAAACGGAACGCCGAGTACCGATAGGGTTCGTGTTATATCAATCGACAATATCCAATTAGCACAAATCATACAATATGGAACTTTAATTGCCAAATCTTGAATGCATTGCCCTACCACCCCCCCGAAACACATACCAACAACCACCCCTTAGCCAATATAAAAAGTAACCCACATGCACTCCCTTGATAACAGTTTCTGGAGAATAAAATGTTTATTATATTTGATAAATTGAACCCAAAAGAGAATATTTTCTAGAAAAGGTCACACATTTTTATTATTATCTCCATTTCTAGAATTGCTGACTTCCATTAAGAAATGAGTTTGATTGTAAGCTAATGCTCTTAGCACAGACAGTCATGATCCAACCATTCAACCTTTCGAGATCTTACAGATTAGGTAGTATGGCAGATTTGATTGAAGCGTTCACGTCAGCATAAGGAAGAAATCTGGCTACGTGACTTAATTCCCACAAATATCATGGCCCAAAACTGACAAGAAAGACCATTTAACTCTTTGAATTGATTGTTGGTGATAACTGGATAATTAATTATCTCGACGCGAAGAATATTTTAAAAATAGTAAAACTGGAAATTGATTAAGTCAATGGCCATGCATATAATTCAATAATCTTTCCGTATAGGTGTGCTAAAGAAATCCCTTTCGAACATTTTCTTATTTTCGACTGATGCCGTGTTGTTATGATGCTTATCATTATTTTCTTAAACTAAGCAGATATTATATAATATTTATAAATTCTTACGAATACATTGAGAAACACCCAGTATAATATATGTCTACTGAAGCCAATAAGAACATTTTTCATCTGCAAGCCACAGAGATGTGAACTATTTATATTGTTAGGGTGCACAACGCAGTCAGAATTTGCTCTTTTAAAAGTTGAACTCACAACAGCGAATGTTCAACCTTAAAGGAAACAAAGAGAAATGGGGTTTAACGTCCACTCGACACAAACCAGGTCATTTCGGGACTAACATATGGTTCAATTTTATTTCAGTAATTCGCTTGCGCGTAGAGGTCTTTAGCAGTGGGAAGGGGGGGGGACCGGAGGACCCGGAGAAAACCCGCGAGGTTGGACAGGCGACCCTACTCCTTGTCACGCACAATCGGGGAATCGAAACCACGCCAGTTGACTAAATAACAGACCGTATGATACAACGTACTCGCGCTAACCATTCGGCTACCCTACTCCGCACGCTCTTAAGGGTCTTAATCACTATTCTTTGGCACCTAGAAACGGACACAAATGGGTCGCAACGCATATAATAATGTAATATGAATATATATAAACTGATTTACATTTAATCCTTTCTGTTTCTACTGTAATTTCTAATCAGTTATGTTCGGCGAAATACGCGAAGAGTCTGGTTATTTCAGTCTTCACCAGTAGTATTCTACTACCTGGGATATGTTTAGCCTCATTCATCGAGTCGCTTCATAGAACTGGGACTCGGAAGCATTTTGGCACACGATTCGGGTGCCAATTTTAAAAGTTTCATTGTATCTTAAATATTGGATATCGGGAGCCCAAATTTTGACGGTAAGATAACAACATCAATGTTGATTTAAATTGACCAATAAGCATAGGCGTACGGGGAAATTTTTGACTGGGGGGGGGGGGGCGGTGGTGGTTGGTGCCCAAAAAATGTAGTTAGGTTCTTAGTATGTTACATAATAATAATAGATTCGCTGTTAAATTGGACACATTCAAGAACACAATATTTTTTTATACAACTGTGTGCCCAAATTTTCCCAGCCGCCCCCCCCCCCCCCAGCTCGTACGCCTATGCCAATAAGCCGTGTTTGCAATGTCAAAGACTGTTGATGATACTGATTTGGCCCGTTTAAATGACAAGGCTCAAGTGCTTACAGCGTAGACACGCAGCACGTATAAATTTCGGAGTAGGTTCTATTAGCCTATAAATAGCCATTGCAAGTGAAATTTTCTACACATCTATCAACTATTAAAGCCATAAAAAACCTATTGTTAACGATTCTCAATAACAGTAATATTTAGCTTTTTGCTATGGAAGGGTTTCGCTGCCAATATTAAATGCTCTGCGACAATGTCGTTTCCATGGATTACATGTAAAAAGTACAATGTAAAGTCAAAATACCTCTAAGGCAAGAGTTAAATTAAAACGTCAAATGTTAAGTGTTAAATGACAAATGTTTTGTGGGAAAATGCTTTTTTTGACATGTCTACATTTTACATTTCTCTCATTACTTCCTTTACTTCAACTTTAATCTTATTTTGTAAAGTTAAGCCAGAAAATGATTTGCATATTTGAAAAGAGCAATCAGTGATACGTAACATGGTATCTGGAATTTCGTATTTAGACCGGTATTTTACTTGAATACCCCTTTAATAGTGTGATATTTATTGGATTTGAATTATGAAAATGCGATTGTACCAGAAAACTATTTATACATTTACAAACAGAAATGAACGTGCTTTTCACTAATATGTAACATGATACCTGAAATTTCGTATTTGGGAATGGCACAACCCCCACACCCAAAGTGTCAAGGTAAGTACATTTTTATTGTGTGCTAGACTGATTTCCTGTTATATTGTCGTGAATATCCTTTTTCTGGCTTATAGTGTGCCAGGTTTACGTATATGTTAATTATTTCAAACTTATGTTTACATGTAAATATTTTTATTGGGTTATGTGCACATATATATATATATAACTTCCTTTTATCTATTCTTTTTTCGTCTTTATTTTCAAAATATTGTAATATTATGTAATTTATTGTAACCGGGAGAGGGGTTTATATAGGCTTTGCCTGTTCCCCAATCCCCTCAGTTTTCTGAATTGTTTATATTGTTTATAAAAAAAAAATATGTTAATAAGTCACGTGATATCCTAGATTTGCATATGAAAGTTGATGCTGTGCGAAACATGCTATGTTGAATGCGTGAAGGGCAAATGGGACGTGGCAGAGAGCAAATGTAAAATGTAATGACAGAAATGTAAAATGTAGACTCGTCAAAAAAAGCATTTTCCCACAAATCATTTGTCATTTAACATTTGACGTTTTACATTTAACTCAGGCCTTAGAGGTATTTTGACTTTATCATTACCGGTATTAGGACTTTGTACATTGTACTTTTTACATATAATCAATGGAAAAAACATTGTAGCAGAGCCTTTAATATTGGCAGCGATACCCTTCCATATTTATGAACCAAAACAACAGAGCAACATAATATAATAGTTGCCAATTCTGAAAGTTAACAACAGACAAGTTTAAGTAAGAACCAAAACTACGTTCCAAAATGAAATGTTTACGTCTTATTTCGATTAAAGTCAAATCTCCCGTCAAATCATTGGTGCGTGACGGCTAAACGCTAGGAATGAAAACCTTAAGATTGACTTACTAAACCGTGGCAAAAGCTTGGTGCGACTGAAATTAGAGTAGATTTGTTTGTGGTTCAAAAACTATTTGCATAATATCAATCAAAGCGTCGTTGTAAGCGGAGTCGCCTCTGATCCCAAGACCGTCCTTCTGATGTATCACATTTGTTTGGGGATGACACTAGCCATTATCTTAAAATTCACGACCCAGCCCCATATTGATCTTGAGATAGGTAAAAACGTGACTGGTCTCCTTAAACGCACTAAAAACCGAAACACTTGCATTGACTAATAAACAAGATCCACTGTTACCTACACTAAATTTAGACGGTATTCCTATTTAAGGAGTTTATCAAAACAAACGTTTTGGACTGCCTTTTCAGTAAATCTGTAATATCAATAAATTAAGTGATTGCTATTACTGAAGATCTATATTGTCTAAACCCTTTGACGATTAAAGAGTGGAATAACCTTTGTCTAAATATTAAAATTTCGACCTCTATAGCTAAGTTTATAACTAAAAACAACTGTAATGAGAATATACCGATATATATACCGATCATTTTATTGTACATTATCCCTTATAATGCTCTTTACACATAGTCTGTTACTAACAACAATCATATATCATTAAATATCTTTGAAAAGGTTCTCGCGTTATTCGACAGCATGTAGCATTGAATAATCTTGTCAGTCATAATCGAAATGCGTACCGGTACAAATGCTTAGACACTAAAGACTTTTGGCAAGCGTAATTTCCTGGTCCGTATCGCGTATCCGTATCGACTTTGCGTGTGACGTCATTAATGTGTGTGTATTTCTCATACGTGATACGGCACACGGACACGGCAGCAGGTATCGAACAGATTTCACACGGAAAAGGTCCTTATAACATCGTCGTCTTTTTTGCTACTTTTAGACCCTGAAATGTTGTGCCATAGCGTTTTTATGAATCTATGTGTATCCTTAACCATGATAAAGACTGGAATTTAATCATTATTTTTTTATGAGTTTTTCTCGGAATTTTCATATTTTTCCTGTCTGTCTGTCTGCATGTTGGTTGATCTACGCGCTAAATTTAGGGAGGTGGGATCTTGCAAATCTGTAGATGATCTGATATGGTAAAGGGGTATAAACTTTCTGAAATGATACATCAGTGAAACCAAACATTGTATTCGAGTCGAAGTTGAAGATTTTGAATAAGATTCGACATTAAATTTTTTTTAAAAACCTCAGCGACTGTCGAGCGAATTTACTCCCTCCAGTAATTTGTAGGCTAGACACTTGACTAGTACTGATGGTGATTTTGGTAGATAACTGCCATCATGCTGTAATAGAACCAAGCTCAGCTCAGCTACTCATACGTACGCGGCGCGAAAATCTGCCAAAACTCTAAAACTACATTGGCGCAACGTATCACGTGACGATACGGATACGTGATACGGATGGGCAAAATTCACCTTGCCAAAAGTCTCTACTGTATAAATATATATATACGTATGTTTGGTTGTTTATTCATCAGTGTACGGTGGACTGATAAGGTCGTTGACCAGATAGCATAAAAAGAATATAAGTAAAAATCTTACGACAAAGGCCACACGTCCGGCGACAATGACTAGCGTCTTGCTCTTTGGCGCAAAGTCCTTGGACTTCAATTATTTTGCATCTGTCCTCGTCATCATCTTCACATCTTTCCTCATCTTAAAAAAAATATAACAAATACGTGTATTTATTATTATGTTTTTAGAAAAAAACTATATACATGAAGAACATAGCATACAGTTATAAGGCTATCGCAGTCTGTTTTAAAACGATAAGTTCCAGTATATTTGAACAAATGCTGGTGATAGTGAGGAAGGGATTAAGAATTTTATTAAAATGAGAGTTGAAAGGGAGAAATGGAAATATAACGTCCACTAGGTCATGTAGGGAGTAACATATGATTCAATTTTATTTGAATAATTTGCTTGAGCGTAGGGGTCCTGGCAAGTGGGAGGACCCGCAGAGAAACTATGAGATTGGACGGGCGACTCTTCCTTGTCACGTCCTAGCGGGAAATCACACCACTTGACTCAATGATAGACCTTATGTTCTAAAGCGCCAATGAGTGAAATCATCTAATTGAATTCCCTGTATAAACAAAGACGAAATGAAGATATACTTTCTGGTTTGTTTGGGGTTTTTTGTTGATCGTCATTGTAAAATCAATCGAGTCTATAGTTTTTAACGGATCTTTTCCGAATTTTGTTGCAGGCATTAAAATATTATCAAAGTTTTCATAGCACTGAAACTGCATTGGTGCGAGTTCAGTATGATATGCCGAACAGGGATCAGTATTAGGCCCGATTCTTTTCTGTCTCTACATAAAACCTCTCGGCACAATTGTAAAGAAATATGGTTTGTCATTCCATTTATACACGGATGACTCCCTGTTATTAAACTGTTCATTTAAACCCACATCAAATTAATATATTCTCCAATTTTAGTCTATTGGAAGGGCAGCAATTATTGGTCTGAAGGGAAATAGCCTGGTTGGAAAATACTGATGTGTTCAGAATTTTAGTATTTAATGGATTCCTTGATGATCTCTTCCTTGGAAGAACATAGAACTGACTTGTTGGGTACTCGAATTTCTGGAGATAATCCTGTTTTTTTGTTGGCCATTTCGTTCGTGTGGCATTTGATTAAGCCGTTTCTTAAGCCATTTGTTCATTTATCATGATTGGGATCTTTAGTCGTATATACTCGTTTGTCTTCAGGTATTGTAATGGCGTTTCTCTCAGTATTCCGCACCCACAATAAGGATGGCATTTTCTTAACCAGCGATCGTGTCGTTCGATTTCATAGCGTTGATGGCACATTGTTTCTCCTTTAACATCCATTAACTTTGCGTTCCGGTTTATAAATGGTGGCAAATTAAGTAATGATGAAGTTATCCAGTGTCACGTCATTCCCCCGCCTAGGGTTGAAGTGACGTTTGTTCCTTACAATATCCTTTGGAAGATGGCCTCTTTTCTTGTCTACGATATCACCCTTGGTGGAAGTGGATGTAAAACTCCAGGAAGGAAGGAACGAACAGACCCTTGAACATTTCCATAAAGTCACTGATGAATTGTGCTCTTTATCTTTTCTTATGTGAACATTTTAATTTGCTCACTGTTTAGTCTATAAAAAGTAATACCTGTGTTTGAAGATCACAGAATCCACTTGACTGACCTTTTAGGTGTGAAATCCTTATTATATTTTATAAATCCTTTTAGAGAATTATTATTTATTTTCAAACATGTAACATATTTTTGGGAAAAAATGTGGGGTTTTTTTTCACGAAAACCACCAGATTTTGGCGATTTTTAACCCAAAAATATTTTGTCCGGGAAATCTCATAAAATAACCTTAAGTATTTGCAATACTACTTCTGCATGAAATTTATAGTCTACTTTAGAATGATAGATTTCAAAGCATGGAATTTCGCAATGTGGGATGTTTTTGCACCCGATTAGATTTTATTACATACTTCGAGAAGGTATTTGTTGAGCGATAGCTCAGTGGTAGAGCGCTGGACCGGCAACTGCGAGGCGAATGGGTGCCGTCATGGGTTCGATTCCCGTATGGGTTAGGAAACGTTAGACCCACGGCCCGTGCTTTCTGTGGGGGGATCTGTAAAGAACCCTCACCTCCCGATAACCCTAACCCTTTAGAGAGAAGTAAAAACTAAATTAGACCCAAGTTCAGTCTTTTAAAAAGGGTTAGGGTTCGGGTTAGTTATCCCCAAAATTCTCATTTATATAAAGCGGCCATTTTGGACTCCGGAAGCACCCGAACCTCGATAAACTACTAGAAGGTTTTATTTGTAAGGACGGCCAGCCCTCGATAAACTACTAGAAGGTTTTATTACTCAACAAATACCTTCTCGAAGTATGTAATAAAATCTAATCGGGTGCCGTCTCTGGGTGTATTTTCGGTGCACGTACTTGTTATTTACTCGAATGGTACAAACTGCACAGTCGGGCCTTTGTTTATCTGGTGTGTTCTCCATAAAGTGGGCAATTCCGTCCATCCTACGTTGGGCATCTACTGCAGCTGGCCTGCGATGAGGTTCGACACGCCGACGCTGATATCCAACTAAACTAGTAAACCATGAGCAACTTTCAGTCGAAAACTCCGGTTATCTAATCTGTCCGCAACAGCAACAGAAGTTTTATAAATCACATACGCATTGCTGACTGCTCTAACCAGTAGGTGGAAGAATACCCTTTTCCACCACTTAACGGATCTATGGCTAATAATAAAATGGTCCGAGCCATCCACATCCCATATGTAAGAGTTTTAATGGTCCACGGCAGCCGACTTTTGAATCTCCCCATGGCCATCCGGGCCTTGACTTCTAGCACGTATCTTCTTTGCCATTATTTATGTCATTGTCTATGGTCTCTTGCCAAACCACCCGCCTGCCATTAGGTACGAGCCGTCATGATAACGGAAAAGTGGTGACAGTTCCTCTAGTCTTCTCTTGGGCGTCATTTTATTGAAAGGACGTAAATCCTTTGGATTCCTTTTCCTGTTAGACTGTGTTGTGCTACGTGCACCAATGTTCTTGTTCTGGAGTTCTTGGAAAAGTTTCACGCTGGTGAAAAGACTATCAGAATATAATTCCTGCCCTGGTACCATATCTGAGCTAAGATCGTTCACAACTTGATACCCAGATTCTCTGTTCTAACATTGTCCTCTTTCCCTACACAAAGACGCCACTGATGAACATAACTTGTATTTGCGCCTGCCAAAACCCAGCCTTTCAGTCCCCATTTGACCGGTTTTGATTTTCTATACTGTATCATAGTACATCGTCCTTTGAACTTCACCATACATCCATCAACGCTCATCTATATGAAAGGCATCATTCCAAGCTTCCACAAGACTGTTGATCAGTGATCTAACTTTGCCCACTAGGGTATTGGTCATCATTATTCACACAATGAAAACACTTCAAGATCCTGCTCACTATGGCTCTGAAACCCGGCTTATGGAGTAGTGGGTGGATCAGTGCTCCAGTGTACCCGGTAAAACTACCCGGTAAAACTCTGTATCCGTCAGGCCCATTAGAATAAGAATCGATAAGAATGCATTCATTTCTCTTGTAGTGACATCATACCAGTCATTCAGCACCGGTGAACCAACATTTCCTGGTTTGGCTGCGAACTGTTTCAATAACTATCAGGAAAAGTCTTACGGAAGAAGTCCACGGGTTTATACCCCTGTGTGTTCACTTTAGGCATGCCAGGGAAAAGGCACTGGTAGGGCGGAAGCCAGTCCAGGTCATGTTGACTAATATTACTCCAAGAATCGTCACCATTATTAACCGGCGCTACACTGTAATAAAGTTTATTCGAAGCTGAACACCTTCTGGAGTCCGAACCAACGGTACGGCAAATTGGCGTCGCTGATAGTGACGAAGGTGTGTGGGATTTTTACTTGTGTGAACGAGAATGAAGAACTTTCGTCGCCAAACGAGTTATGAAAAGCCGTTCAAAAGTCGAAGAAAGAAGTAGACCGGTGATTCTTAATTAGCCTAACAACTCGCCGCCGATCCAGGATTGATGAATAATCAGTAACTTGTGAGTTAGGCCTACGCTGTGTTATTTTTCAAATATTTCCAGTGATATTCTTAATTGGTGATTAGAGTAAACATTTATTGTCAGTCAACTGCCTTTAAGTACAACGTTCTCTCATCGAATTGAAGGTCCACCGATGAAATGCTCGAACATTTTTCTCCTGAATCAACAGTTTAATGAACTCTAGTGTCTTATTTAAATTCAATTTCTATTAGAATCATCTAGTTAGTCGTTTATCAGACCACCACAGAACACTTGTGTGTTTTATGGACTTCATACCTAAATAAAATATTCACGTATTTTATTTCGAATTTTTATAGACTTTTTTCCCGGGGTTTTATTTTGTTCCCTTGTTGATGTCATATGTAACGTAAACAATATGAATATTGTGTTTTTCATAATTGTAATGTGGTAATTTGACTATATGTGTTCATATTTTTATGTATGTTGTTTATTTACTGTATTTTGACAGACTAGGTGTGTGTGTCATTTGTTTGATAGACTTTAATTGACGCTTGATATCCAGTATTGTTTTCATCACTATTTAATAATATATAATTGTATGTTTTGTCAGTTAATATTTTTCCCGTTTTATGTTAATTAATTTTTCTTACTTTCTGACATTAGTGATACCTCAAACCTTTTCGACTAGTTGTCCTACCTTCGATTTCTGTTATTCTAATAGTAATACTTTGGCTTTAATATTCAAAATGTCAACCGACGGAGAACAACTTGGGGTAAATGGTCGCATAGAACAGGAACGTACCGAGGTTGAGAAATTACAAAACATGATGGAAAGCAGTTTACTACTGCACCAAGAACAAAAGAACAGGACAAGTTTAGGAGAGAATTGGCAGATCTCCGTCAACGCTTAACAGCTGAACAGTGGCAACCCAACCAACCCAACCACATTCAAATATAAACCCGGTTAGAGATCATTTATACATCTATTCTAAAGTAAAGGAGTTTACTGGGACATTTTCAGGTGAAGAATCTGATGTTGCCATTTAAAAGACTGGTTACACAAAGTTCAAAGAGCCCCGAACAGTCCGCTTTATACCCTTTATGCAGGTCAAGTTTTTTCCTTATTA